GCCTGAGATGATGTTTTCTGTTCATTCCTCGCCATCAGTATAGATAAGAGGTTAGGTTTCACGTAGTATCTGGTGACTTGCCGTCGCTAAGATCAATTATTCCGAGGATTTTCAAATCTAATCTCAACTATGGAGCCCTATTCAAGAGCAAAAGAAATATGGTCACCGGTAACGGCGATTGACTACGTCCCACGCATCAGCTGGTCCCTTGCGCACTTCAGAACGAGTTCAGCTGCGCTCTTTTTTCTTTTTCTCCAGAATGACCGACCCAACCACTGAAGTGCCCTCTTCTTCTGCACAATACACCGCTATTTCGAAGAGATAATTGCTATTTTCAAGAGGTAAAAAGCAAAATACAGAAGTGTTGCCATCCTTTATTACTTCTTCCGACCGGTCGGTACAAACCCAAAGTTTAAAGAGCCACCGACATGATGAACATCGCACAGCGGTTTTTATCGCTGGAGTGGCACGACATGGTGAACATGGACCTCAGAATTCTAAGAACTTATATATGCTTATTGGCGGCTTTCATCGTCGTCTTCGTCTTTGGACTTGCTTTCTATCGACTCTACCTCAGTCCCCTAGCTAAATTCCCTGGTCCTCGGTTGGCCGCTGCGACGGGGCTCTATGAAACTTACTATGATGTTGTTCGTGATGGTCAATTTTCCTCGCACATCGAGCGTCTGCATCAGACATATGGTCCGATTGTGCGCATCAAGCCGTGGGAACTTCACGTGAAAGACCCGGACAACTACAACACGCTGTACGCAGGAGTGACGCGAAAGCGAAACAAGGACAGATGGTTCTCGTTTGCGGGATGGCCTGATTCAATCTTCTCAACCAATGGACACGCGTTGCATCGCTCCCGACGAAGCGTGTTAGGGCAGTTTTTCAGAAGGCAGGCAATCCTTGATGTGCAACCGCTTATTCAGGAAAATATCCAGGCTTTGTGTCGTCATTTTCGCAAAGCGCAAGCGGCGTACGATAGTTTAGAACTTTATACTACCTTTTCTTATTTTACGAGTGATACTATATCGCAATATGCGTTTGGGAAACAGAACGGCTTTCACTACTTGGGTGAGGCCGAGCTGGATGTGACTTGTAAATCAAAGGCGCACTCTATCTTTGAGCTTTCTCAGAAGACAAGACATTTCCCCTGGCTTTGCAAGCTGGTTCACTTCTGCCCTTGGCCAGCATCACTTATGGATGCCGATTTTGCTAGGGTCTATACCCAGGAAATGGTAAGTGGCTTTCGGGTGTGTATTTGAGATTCTAAAGCTGATGTGGGAATCCAGGAAATTCAAAGTATGGTTCGCAAGACCATACTGGAACGTGGTACGGGATGCAGCGAGAAGCCCAACCCAATCTATCCTGCAATTCTGAACAACGAGAAAGTACCCGAGGATGAGAAAAGGCTCGCCCGCCTGACTGATGATGCGATCTTCATGGTACAAGCCGGTACCGATGCGCCAGGAAGAGCATTAGTTTTGACTTTATATTACATTCTGCGAGATCCAGAGGTGCATAAGAAGCTTCGCTCTGAGTTGTGTGCTTCTTGGCCAGATGCAAGAATGGAGCCAGGACTTATACAATTGGAACAGTTGCCTTATTTTGTATGGCTCTCTCCTTGGAACGATACAACCTCAAGGTGCAACGGCTAACCCAGCATCAGACTGCCGTGTTAAAGGAAGGACTTCGATTATCCTCTCTCGTCAGCACACGTCTTCCACGTGTCGCACCGGATGAGGAATTGCAATTTCATGGATACGAAATCCCACGCGGAGTAGGCCATGATTTCCTCTCCCCTCTAGTGCTCTAATCATAGCTAAATAATTATGTTAGGTTCCCGTGAGCATGACTACCTTTTTTATCCTCCGTGATCCAAAGAATTTTCCCGAGCCGTTACGATTTATCCCCGAGCGCTGGCTTCTGGAGCCAGAGGACTTGCGAAAGTTGGAGCGGTACCTAGTTCCGTTTTCCAAAGGCACGTTGGGGTGTGTGGGCCAAAGGTAAGTTGCCACCGGAAGGCAATCTACAGAGGCAGACCGAAGCTAATGGGGCGCAGTATGGCTTGGGCATGGCTGTATATGGTGCTTGGGACACTCCTGCGAAGGTTTGAGATGAGACTTTATGACACGACGGAGCGGAACGTAACTCCAGTCAGAGATAAGTTCCTCTGGCAGACGGAGCCTGGACTGAATCGGGTTCAGATCAAGGTGTTGAGGGAATATTCATAAAGAATATTGGGGACAATGTAGTGCCTGCGACTCAAAGGCCTTTAACAGTATGGTATTGTATAAAGATTGTCAATCTAGGGTATATACTGGATAATAGACAGGGCGAGCCATGGAAGAAAGGATGTTTGACTCACGGTCTCGACATTGGGTCGAGAATTAGATGACTGATAACAGGGTTGACAGATAGATCTGCACATGTTTCGATCCTGTAGTGCCGCTCTCTCACTGGGGCGTGCTACTGTTACAGTTATAGTATAGGTGTACGACGACATCCAATTCGAAAGTTCGTAAGTTTTATTGGTATTGTCTAATCAAGCTATGTCTGGACTGTCTTCTATTGGACTGCACATGGTAGGTGGGCATCTCATTTCTGGTTTAGCAGGATAGTAGGTAGCATAAGCTGGCGGGCGTAAAATCCGGCCGTCCGTCACTGGCAACATTTTCGATGCCCGGCTGCATGCACACCACGGCCAGCTCGAACACAAAAACAAGAGATGTATTTTTCTATCTGGTAACTGGTGAGATACGTAACCGAGTATATCCGTTCGAGATCACTAAAATAAAAAAAAAAAAGTGAGAAAAAAGAAAGCCCAACGCGGGGCTCGAACCCGCAGCCTTGAGATTAAGAGTCTCACGCTCTACCGATTGAGCTAGCCGGGCTAGTTCGGTGAATGGTTGTTTTGTAGTATGCTACATATTCCTTGGAGTAAGTATAGGCAAAGAGATTTCTCCGTCTGCTGATTGAAGTAGTAGCCCGGCAAGCTTGGGCCTGCCACCTATTCCGTACCGCCTGATAGTAGTAGTAGGTGTATTACCAGCTATCTTGTCTTGATCCATATTAAGGCTTCTCACTAATGGTACAAAATGATATGAACTCATGGTGCTATGGTTGTAGACGATGTGGTCGGCGGACAGCTGGCTTGCAGCGCAACAACCGAAATATATACTATCAAGGGCTCTGGTGATGTGAGACCTCAATCATCCTATGTCGTATGTGAACTTTCAGACCCTTGGAGCTGAGTACAGCAGTAAAGTAGTTAAAAAAGTAATTTTAAAGAGAACTCTCATTAATTATCAGACAAAAGAAGCCAAGGTGTAAGGAAGTAAGTCCCTACGAGAATGGCTATACACCTTCTCCCGAGGTGTACCTGAGGGTATCAATCATAGCGCCAAGATTACCGGAAATCTGCTGTTACACGCTCACACCACTTCTCTAATCTTACCGCATTACCCTCATCGCCCTTGTCCATTTCCTCAATAAGATCCCCCCGGGGACAGGGATGCCACCGACCAAACGGTATAACATACCTGCCGCTATCCGCAGCCGTGACCTCTGAACTACAACCCGCCCACAGCAGCGAGTTGGCACCCTCCCGAGCCGTGTAGAAGATGGGCTTGCACATCCACACCACCAGCTTAGGCGCGTCGTCGTAAATGCCGGTATATGCGTTGGCCGGGTTGACCGTTATGCTAACCACAGCCTTTTCGTCTTTGCCGGCCGCAGCAGCGAACTTCTTGGCAACCCGATCCGCCAGGAACCAGTTGCCTGTTTTGCTGATCGCGTAGTTGCGGTACACGTTGCTTGAAGGGTTATCGAGTTCATCGGCGGGCACGCCGCCCCGCGGCGCCAGGGTTTCGACGATCATGCTGCTCGACCAGATCACCCGCACGCTATCCGGGGGTGCATGGGCGGCGGTGCGGGTGAGGACATCTGACAGCAGAGTGGTGAGGAGGTAGGGCGCCGCGCAGTTGATACCGAGCTGCGGCTCGAGGTTCTGGGCGGTGCGCTGCGTCAGGGGCTGCAATGCGACACCAGCGTTGTTGAAGAGAAGGTCGAGGCGTGATTCACGCTCGAGAAATTGGGTCACAAAGGGATTGATTGTGGTGAGATCCGAGAGATCAAGGGGCAGAAAGATCAGTTTGCCGGAAGCAGTGGGGTCTTCTGCTGTGAGGGCTTGGATGGTGGCCTGGGCTTTTTGTTCGTTACGGGCGGCGATGTAGACAGTGGCGCCGGCGGAGTACAAGATGCGCGCCAATTCCAGGCCGATGCCGGCGGTGCTGCCGGTGATGATCACCACGCGATTGGATTGCGGAGGGAGATTGGCAGAAGTCAGGGTTGGTTTGGCAGGGAAGGTTTGCGGCCAGACGCGGCGCAAGAGATTTAGGATCATGGTGTTTGTCCTGAAGAGAGGAAAGTGGACAAGCGGAGATGAAAGGGTGCAATGTTTTTGAGGAAGAGAAGTGACAGGATTGAGGACATATTTAAATAAGAAAGAAAGCCCTTGACTAGCTACACTAATGGCTTAGTTTTGGTTCTTATAGTCATGACCTGCGCATCACTGGTGGGTGGTTAGTCGTTTTACATGATATATCCCGCAATTCGTGTAATATACACCTAGGGTAACCATAATATATCAGTTACACTCAGTTACAGCCCCCGAACGGAATACATACATACATACATACATTACATACGGATCTTTGCTCTTTCAACACACATAGTGTACATCCATCTATCAGCCTCTTTCTCCAACAGTGGCATCCGCATTCTCCAGCAACCGATTCAAAATACCCTCACACAACGCACTTAGTGTCTTGACCCCGACCACCTCCAACGTACTGACCACCACCTTCAACTCCTGCCGCAGCCAGTTCCGAAAGTCCACCGCCGCCAGCGAGTCCAGTCCGTATACTGACAGCGGCTTCGCCGCCTCCATCGGCTCCGCCAGCCCTAAACTGTGCATGAAGTGCCGATTGACCACCTCAATCGTGGCCAAGGATATCCTTCTTGCCAAGTTCGACGAGACACCCGCCGGCCGCGACAATGCGCCACGACTCGCCCAGCAGTCGGCCGGCCAGTGTATTCAGGATGACGTCCACGCCACGGCCGCGTGTTGCCTCCCAAATTCGCGGCGCGAAGGCCGCCGTCCGCAAAGAGTATATACGCTCCGGTGGGATATTATACTGCTGGGTCAGCACTGCGCGTTTTGCGTCGTTACCCACGGTGGCATAGATGTCGGCACCCATGGCCTGGCAGATCTGAATGGCGGCCTGCCCGACGCCGCCAGCTGCGGAGTGGATAAGCACAGACTGACCGCGATGGAGGTTGGCCAGGTCGAAGAGACCGCGGATCTCGGACAAGTAAACGACCAGCAAGAAAGCAGCTTCCTCGAAGCTCATGCTGTCTGGGATGGCGTGCGCGCCTTGCACGGGGCATTGGACCTTGTTGCCGAAGCTACCGCGGCGGTTGACGAGGACGCGCTGTCCGACGCGAAACGAGGTGACTCCCTTACCTAGTCGGCAGACCACGCCAGCGCCCTCGAGGCCCAAGAGGTACGGATTCTCAGGCACGATCTTCAGGCAAGTCGCCACGTCCTCGAAGTTAAGCCCCGCCGCATGCATCTCGACTTCAATGAAGTCATCCGGGAGAGGGACGGGGGAGCTGGAGACTTCGGCGAAGCAGAGCGATTGGAGCTTGCCCGGTTGTCGGCAGACCAGTCGCACACACGAGGGATGTTCGTGAAGATCTGGGTCCGCTGAGCTGGTGGAAGAGCGGCGGCGGTGGTGGTGATGGCGTCTTCTTGTTCGGCGTCTGCGTTCTTCTGTGTGTCTGGGTAGACCCTGCTGACGTGCACCACCCCATCGCGCTCGACGAATTCGTGGTCCTGCGTCTGATGGCCCTGCTGAAGGGAGAGAATGGTCCGGCAGATTGCTTCCAGGGAGCCAGTGCTGACGGCGAATTCGACATCCAGCAGAGTGAAGTACACGCAGGGGTCTTCGGCACGGATGACCCTTGACATGCCGTAGGCCAGGGAGCGATCCGGATGTTTCACGTCTAGTTGGGCGCCGCTTGTCACCCAAAAAATCTTACAGCCCGACGCAGTGAGGTGCTGGATTGCCTGCCATTGTATGGGTGTCACCTCATTCAGGGTCGCCGAATAAACCTCGTCCACGATCACAACGACTGAGCTGGGCGCGATAACCGCAGCGGGAAGGGGTAGGTTTTGCTCGCTCGGCGCTTTCCCGGGGATGGCCAGCTGTTTCACTAGTGGCTTATCTTCTGGGGTGAGATGAAGTACTGTTACCTCTGAAGTCGTCGCAAGCGGGGGGCAGACAATGGTCTTGTCTGATGAAAGCTGAGCGAGAAATGCCGTGTTCTTTGGCAAGCTGTCCTGTGCAAGAGGAACCACTCGCTCGAAGCCCTGGCCACGCAGAAACTCAGGAATCTGGGACGATGAACCTCCGACCATCGACCAGTCTGAGCTGCCAGAATCGCTGTCCTCACCGCTGATGACTGATGCGCTGCCCGCATCCTCCGTGACATCGACCAGGAACGTTCCAAGAACCAAAAGATATGCTGCCGGTGTCATGGCTCGCCTAACATTGGCCAGGGCATTCGCCAAATCGGAGCTAGAGACGGGCCCCAGCTGAAGGATCGCCAAATCAAGCATGTCAGGTAGCATGGACAGATCTACATCAGGCTTAGTCACATCGAGCATGTTCATCTGAGCCTGAGGGTATGTCTCCGTCAACAAGGGCTGCGAGGCACGTAGCGAAGCCAGGTTTTTCGGCATAAACTGGTATTTGCAATTTCCCTCTGCGAGGGACAGATCGCCGTCGAACATATCCCGCCCGACACTTCCCTCAAATGGCAGCGTGCTGAACTCCACCACCTGAAGGGAATGCTTCTCGTGGAGGAGCTCCATAAGGGTCCACTGCTTGTGTGATGGCGATGATGGATCGTGGTGTGGCCTGGACTTTTGCAGCGAACGACGAGTCTGAACCAGCGCACGTATCTGCCCGTCGCTCAAAATGGACATCTGCGGCTTCCAGTGCAAACGCATAAAGGTATGCAGCCTTTCAGGGGACTCGGAGCTAGCATCGAGTTTGTGGTACCACAAGCCCGTGACCTTAAGCAGTAGCCGTTTACTTGCCGGGCCAAAGACCTGTATATGTGAATTATAGTTGTGGGCTTCCTCGGGGCTGCCCACTCCGGAGAACTCAGCTGAGGCTGCTGCAACCGCAACTGGTACTGCCGCAACATCCCGAGCGTTGATGAGAAGATCATCTAGCACGGCGCTGCGGATGCCCTTCCACAGCGAGGCGGCCCCGGACTGAAGACAACCATCGATCGCCACGGGGTGGACTGAGTAAGGCGACTGAGGATAAGAAGACGGGGGCTCTGAAAAGGAAATCAAACCTCGGTTGGTTCGCTGACCGGCCACGGCCTCGACCTCCAGTTGTGACTGGAACGAAGGACCAAACGAGTACCAGACATCCCGGAGGGCCTTGTACCAGACATGTGCGGGCATGGGACTTCCGGCAGAAGGACTTCCAGACGCAATTCTTTGGGGGCAATTATGCCTCGCTAAAGCAGGTCAAACGCCGATATGACCCCGAGGGGGTATTCTATAGCACCGCCCTGGTAGGCAGTGATGAGTGGGAGGTCGCCAGTATGGGCGCTTGTGTCGGAGTAGCGAAAGTAACTGAGAGATGGACAGGCAACCTTGTAATCACGATATGATGCTATTAGCCTTATAGACCTAATGCAGTGGGGTGGTGATATGATATAGTATTTATCAACCAGTTATAATAGATCTCTGCGGCGGTTGGTTCCGCTAGCCAAAAGTACAATACAATTCAATACCTACCGTACGAATGATACGAGCCCCATGTATGCCCTCTGTATCCGCCCCCAAACCACCAAGAACCACCTAACAATCAACTCTCTAATGCAGTGAAGAGGGGCTAAGTACAAGTGGGCCGCGGAATAAATCTCACTCAGGTCTCAATACTATCCTTTGATCTAGTAATCGTTCCTCGGTTCGCAGTTTATTTTACTTCATTTGATCCAAGTGTTGTCCACCCATCTCACATCCACACTGCAAGAAGATAAGTTATCTACCAGTACTACAGCAGATGTCTCTCCCTCCTCTTATTCAGGGCCACTGTGCCCCTCCCTTCTCGCCTCTCCGCAATACCCTGACCGAGAATCTGCAAGCCGGGAGGAGCTAGGCTTCAGCCTCAGCGTGACCGTCGGCAACGAGACGATGGTCGATCTCTGGGGCGGACATGCGGACGCTGCGCGCACGCAGCCTTGGACTGCTAACACGATCACGTGCATCTTCTCCAGCTCCAAGGTCATCACCAACCTTGGCAGCAAACATGCTGATTGACAGGGGCCTGCTGGACCCTTCGGCGCCCGTAGCGCGCTACTGGCCCGAGTTAGCTGCCAATGGCAAGGAAGCCATCCTCGTCAAGCATGTCCTGAGCCACACGGTGGGCCTGCCGGCTTGGGAGCTGCCCATCACGCTGGAGGAGATCTGCGACACCCCCGTGGCAACGGCCAAGCTGGCAGCGCAGCAACCGTGGTGGTCCCCGCCCGGTAGCCACCTGGGGTATCACCCGGCCACACAAGGCGTGCTGGTAGGCGAGTTAGTGCGCCGCATCACCGGCCAGTCGCTAGGTGTCTTCGTCCAATCGAAAATTGCCGAGCCTTTGGGGGCCGACTACCGCCTGGGGGTGCTCCCCGCCGATGAAGAAGGGGATCCTGCCCGTGTTGCTGAGATGGTACCGCAGCCGCAGATGCTCTCACTCGAGGGACTGGACCCGGCCAGCATTATGATGCGCACCACCATGGGAAGCCCCATCCCGCCCCAAGCTGTCAACGGGCCAGGTGCGCCGCTGCGTCGCACTGAACTGAGTGGTACCAATGGCTTCTCCAACGCTCGCGCTATGGCTCGCATCGGCTCCATGGTCGCCAACGGAGGTCAGCTTGACGGGAAACAATTTCTCTCCCCCGAGACCATCAATCGCATCCTGGAGCCACAGGTCGATGCTGTCGATTCGGTCATGGGCAAGCGAATGTCCTGGGGACTGGGCTGGGCCCTTCCCACCTCGGGCAATTCCTACGACTTGGTCACTGATGGGCGCGTGGCTTACTGGGAAGGTTGGGGTGGGTCTATCCTAATCGTGGACCTAGATCGAAAGATGTGTATTGCATATGCAACGAACAAGATGGGCGCAAGCTTGGAGGGCGATAGCCGCACCCAGTCCTATGTTAAGCAGATCTACCAAATTGTCCGTGACATGCAAGATACTAAGATATAAGACTTTGGTATGGATTTAAACTAAATATGATATCTTTCCTCCTTAGATATCACTCATCATACAAATCCATTGATAGCAGTGTTTTCAAGCCACTGGAATCCTCTACACCTTGTCAGTCATCAATAAGGTACCCAGAGAAATGGTCATTCCTTCCTCTGACTAGTATAATCTTCATCCTGGCCTGAATCTAAGCCCATGTCTGTAGATCACTTTGAAACTTTCAGGTTTTGACTATTATACCTTGGTATATGGAACTACTAGTTAAATATCTATAAGCAGCAGTTACTGTACTTTCTATACTCACTACTCTGTATATATATACTTACATGATATATTCAAGGAGATACTACTTATTTCTGTAATCCTAACCCACTGGGGGAGGGATACTGGACGTACAGTAAATATATAACTATAAGAAGTCTAGTAGATAACCGACTTTCTTAGTAGGAAATTATGATAGAATGGAGAGATCTGTAGCAGTCAGAACAGTTTAAGAGATATATCATAAGCTACGTGGGGTGGTTTTGTAGATAGTAGCGCGCAAGGGAGAGTGAAGTACAGAAAACCCTAGCCCGATATAATAATTGCAAGAGTGTATGTCGCAGAACCACCATGCAACTCTAGTTTCCACGTGCACTATCAGCTAGTACTCACTGCATGAGCCCTTAAGCGAGAAAAGCATGGGGAGGGAGCATATTGCCTGTACCAATATTAGGATGGAGAGAAATGCCAGCACAATACTATGGCGTGTATAAATATATGCTTCAGACTGAAGGGTACATACAATGTCTTGTGTCGGCTTCGAGTCCAGCATATCTACTCCCAGGAGTGGCACCCTGGGTGACCATAAGCTGTCCCTGGAATATGTAGCATATAGAAAAACCTCCTTTCACCGAACTAGCCCGGCTAGCTCAATCGGTAGAGCGTGAGACTCTTAATCTCAAGGCTGCGGGTTCGAGCCCCGCGTTGGGCTTTCTTTTTTGTTCCCTCACACCCACACACAGAATGTGTTAGGGATGGATGGATCTCTTTTTTTTTTTTTTTTTTTTTTTTTTTTTTTTTTTTCATTTCATCCGGCATTTGTTTTCTTTTATTGCCCGCTATCACATCTTAATAACATAAAGGTAATATTTGTGTGAAATGGAGATAGGTCTGCTATTATGAGAACATACTATATTATTTACCACTTTTGGAAGCCACATCTTATGTCGGTGTCAACATACGACAATCATGACTCCTGGCGCTCATGATACGAATATATAAGCACTGACATAGATTCATAAATATAAAGTCGAGCAAAATACCAAACGGAAGATCAATGTTAACAATGCACAATACATGGCGAAGCGTATAGATCATAAACACCAAGAACCGAAAGACAACGGCCCCTCCCTACATTGACGCTCATTCTGGATCCACAATGGTTGAGCTTGACTCCCCCAGCATCATACTCCTTCCAGCCTTCTCCTCGGCCAAGACTCTGACTGTCTCGGTAAGCGAAATAACCTGCTCCTTCAGCCGCATAATCTCCAAGGTGGTGTTGTCCACTTGAATGTTTGGAGTAGATTCCCGTACGGTCTGGGTCCAGCTATCATCGAGATCAAAGTCAACTTCCTCGGCGGCGTGTTCCCATTCCTGCACGTCGTCGTCGTCCTCTTCACCGCGCCGACGGTTCCACCTAATGCGTCTTGCGTCACGCACTTCGAAGAACGCTGTGATAAAGAGGATGGGTGAGTATATAACGCCCATGATGACATCGTTGAGCTTGGCATAGTATTGTCTTGGTAGCCACCACTCAAACGGGAGCACTAAGAAGATGATCTCCAACAGATTAAAGGCTAGTTTAGGCGTTAGCGTAGGTATCAGAAATAGTGCGCTTAACATACGAGGTATAAAGACATTCTCATCCGGCGCGCGAACGAACTGCATGGTCTTCTGAGCGAAGATGGCCATGTACTCGTCAATGGCATTCCCCGAGATATCCTCGTAGGCACTGTTGTAGAGTGCAATGAGGATATTGAGCAGAACTGGAGTGGATTCAATCAGCTTTGCAACCAAATATCAACCCCGAGGAATACCCACTGGTCATTACAACAAAGTTGAAAACGTAGTAAAGGATGATACCAAACGGAAAGGCAAAGTCCTCAAACGTGCTGAATTCTGGGCTCTGCATGACGCTGTTCGCCATTCCTTGCACAATACCTCTCACAATGGGAGTATCATCATCCACTTGAGCCATACCGATGAATGCCTGGAAAAAGCCTGCAAGAACGACGAAGAGAAGGGCGAAGAAGATCAAGCTTTCCTTCATCATGACTCTCAAGACCACAAACATGGCACCGAAAAATCGGAAGGAATCGAGATAGAGCATCATGCGCATCCAGAACATCGGCCCCGCAAAAGCCAGAAAGTTGTAGCTCAATTCATTCAGGCTTTGTCTTTCCGCATCATGAACAGATTGAGAATGCGCCAAGGCAGCCACACGCAGGAAGAAAGATACGGCGAGGATTGCGTAGAGAGTAGAGTTGAAGGCATTCCAGAAGTCCAAGTAGTGCCATCCGACCTTCCAGAGTTTGGAAACTTCGTCGCAGATGAAGGCAAGGGTCATCACATAGAGGATCCCCTCCACGGCATCTAGATCACCAGTGGGGTTCACTGTGTTGATAACCTGGGTGTATAGTCCGAGATAAACAAGGGAGAAGAAAATCTGGCAAATGTTTTGATATAGAGGCGTCCTCATCCGATCTGGGTGGAAGTGAACCGCAAAACTCGTGTTGTCCCTCTCCAGGTAGGGAACGAAATTGGTTGGATTGCCCTCTTGCTGGCAGAACCATCCATTCCACAGGTATCTGATACACTTTTGATAACCCGAGGAGCCAATGACCCTCAAAGCATGTAGATCAACAGCGCGCTCGATGACATTAGCCGGCATGGCCTCTCCACCATCAATGAAAATCGAGTACCGCTTAAGGAGAACATTGATGAGTAGATTGTCCTGATCTTCCTCGGTTTCAATGCTATATCAGCTAATCAGCAAAGTCTCCAAAATCATGCTACGGGAGGGTGTATTACATTCTCTTCGCTATGACCTCACAAGCAAGGGCTCTGCGCTCATGTAAATCAGAATCCCAGAGCTCTTCCTGAGCCTGAAGCTTGAACCAACGCAGACAAACGAGGAGACAGAATGGAACGCAGGCCTGCAGGTCCTCGCCTCCTGCTAGACGGGCTGTCTGAATCACATTTCTTGTGATAACCCGACTATTCGGACTGACAATATCACTCTCATCTAGCTCGCAAGGGATGACTTGCTCTAGCTGGTACTTCAGACGAAGAGCGACTTTTGTCACCTCCTTAGAGGGTAGGGTAGAAGAGACCTGGTCATCTGTAAAAGCAGGAAGCACTATGGACCCTGTTAGCCGAGAGCATGTTGTAGAGCGGCTCCGCAATCAGATGACGTACATCGGTGTTGTTCCATATGCAGGCGGTGGCGGGTCCGCCCCGCGTCGCTGTTGAAGATATCTCGCCAGTGGCCCATTCTGAAGGCCCCAAAGGAGTAGATCAGTTAGTAGAATAATAGCAACGGTCGGATTTTCACAGGCGCTGAGGGAGGACTCAGGAGGGAGACTTCAGAGCTACGGTCTACTTAGTTAATGTAAGTCTTTCAGCCAGGCCGCGCGCCCCACTTCTCAGCCGCTCACCCAACCACCAATAAAGAAGCCTTCTTCAAGGTTCAAATCATACAAGCGGTCAGGATACGAGTGTTACTGAGCAGCAGAGCGATAATGATCGACCTGCTCCTTGCAATTAATCCAGAAGAGAAGGGCTTATACATCAGTGTCTGAAACGGCCACTGGGGTTGAACCGTTCGTTGATCAAAGAAGCTTATGTACATCAGAAAGAGAGGGCTCCTGTTGGGCCAAAGCCACTCACCAACAGAGAGTCAAGCAACATCCACTGATCAACAATACAAGGGACAATGTGCATGTCATTATCACCTTATGGGAAAGGAAGGCCTCTGGATGGGATGAGGCCCTTCCGATCGTCTTCATACCCCGCCGATGATCTCGATTTCACCCGTCGCACATCGCACATTAAACCGTACTTGCGTCTCATAAATCGTGTCATGTCCAGAAACTCTATTGAACTTTTTTCCACACCCTACCCGACACACTTATATGATCGCCTTCAATCTTCAGTCTGCGATAACCCCCAACACCAGTTCGTGAAGCGTTCTGCTTGTTTTTCATGTCGCCGCCGAAGCGAACTCTCAAGCTTCACACGCTGTCGCCAAGCTCGCCGCGGACAATTTACTCAGGAACGCCCTCATCGCTCTCGGACATGCTCTCGTCACCGCTGACTTCCATGTTCTCACGCTCACGCTTCTCCATGAGCTCCTGGAGGGCAGCATCATCGTGCTCAGTAACAGCCTTGGGAGCCATCTTGACAATGCAACCACCGCCAGACTCCTTAATCTTGGCCTCAATCCTTTGGATGGCCTCCTCGAGCATCTGAATACCAATGGCCTTGTCCAAGCACTGGCTGGTCAAGACGTAAAGTGGCGGGGCAACCAGCTTAACCTTGATCTGGGTCTCGGCGGTGTTGTGGGCCTCGGCGGTGCGCAGGGCCTCCTTGACCGCATCGATACCGTCGTAACCGAAGCAAGTAACCTCAATATCGGCACGGACCTTGGTCGGGTGAGGAGTAAGTCTCTTGCTGATGTAGTGCGTCAACTCCTTCTTCACGTTCTCGTTAGGGAATTCAACCTCGTTCCACACATCGGGGTTCCTGTGATGATATGAGTACAATGATTCGAGACAGCCTTGATACAGTGGTCCTTACGTGATGGAGATCTTGAACGCATCGTGGGAGTGTCCATATTTGCGGTTCAGGGGCCATCCGATCTGCTGGTATAGGGTCTCAAGAGGGGTCTGAGTGGCCTCGGCAACGTGGCGCATGATGGAGTGGACTGCCTTGCTCTTGTTGTATCTTTCCTCACACTTAACAACATCTTCGGGAGAAACTCGACGCTTGGAAAGATCGATATAACCTAAAGACGTAGAACAAGCGAGTTAGTAAGTTGATGCTGATGTTGTCATCCAGGAGACTCGGACTTGCCCTTCTCCTTGTCCACACGAAGCACGATGACGACCTCGTTACGGCCGATACGGATGAGCTTCTGGATACTGCGGATACGTCTGCGCGACAATTCGGAGAGCAGAATCATGCCGTCGATGTTGTCATACTCGAGGAGCTTAACGTATGCGCCCATTTCGGCGATCTGTGAGGGGTTGAGAGTCGAGTGTTAGAGGGCGTTTCTGAACCCCGAAAAGAACCAAATGACCTGTAGCAATGCATACCTGCTTCACGTTGACCATGACATAGCTGTCAACCTCCGGATACTTCTCCTCGTAGAAACGGCAATTTGTCAACGACATTTTCGGCGGGGTTGCGCCTTTTGCTAGGCAAAGCTTCGGAACTGTTCAAGAGTTGATGGAAGGCTGGAAATCGAGAAGGTATCCGAGACAAGGTGGCCTCGAGATAATACCTGCGTAAGAGTGCCCGAAAGGATGTGAGGAAGTTGTGAGGTTGGAATGAAGACTGCCACTATTGGGGATCACAAAGCACAATTCGAAAAACCCACTTTCGGCCTCGCGGTTGAGTCATCACGTGCAGGGCTCAAAAGCCTCTCCGCCCGGCAAAATGCGATAATGCATTGATAGGCCTATCCCGTCTCCGCAGCCTTAGGCTCAATTGTCCCGTCAAGACTAAAAGTAGTTCTACCGCTGAGATATTCAACACCCTTCATTCCGGACCTGATGAGATTTACAGCGGATCTTAGGTCCCGGTCATCAGTTTCAAGAAATTGAGCTTTCCTCTTCATATACCACCTAAAGAATGGCTTTTGAATTCTTGGGAGATTTATAGTACAACATCCCTCCAAGACCAGCGCTACAAGATGCTTTCTGCTTACTTCCAAGGCATCTGCTTCAACCTTTCAAAGTACAGCTCATGCGCTCATGCTCAGAAGATTTAGACCAGGAGTCTCCACGGCATGGTGGAATTGGCCCTTGCCTAAACCGAACGTTTTCATCATTGCCCAGGCATATCGAGCTAGGATAAGTACTTGCACGGAAGTAATTATTGCGCAAAATGCTACTCAAATATCCCCAAGGTATCCGAACTTTAATTACACAGACTGAGCCCTGAAGGTTGCTATTGATGGAAGCCATGATCTTGGGAGGAAGACAGCATTAGCTGGAGCAAACCAGTGTAGAGGTGATCCCTGCTTCCACCCCCAAGCTGAAAAGGTAACGGAGGTAAGATAGGTCAGCTTACAGTATATTGTCACACTGTGAAACATAACACTGGAGTATGCATGAAAATGATCGATGAGATATCAGCGATACCTAAAATGACGCTTATGGTTGAATAGTACATCTATCTCAACCAAAGCAAAAGGCATGGCTAACACCTCAATAAAGATATTGGTGTCAGAAATCACCCAGACTTCCAACCAAAGATCAATGACAGCCAGTCGTTGGATCTGGAATGATACACCAGAAGCTGAGCCATAGCTCAACCTCGAAGTTCAAAACGCATCAAGATAGGAAACCCTGAAAAATCAGCAGCCAATAGCCTTACCTGCCACTACAACTCTTTACGAAGCCGAGGAAACTGTTCATCTGACCCTGTCAAACAGGCATACCCAGACCCCGAACATTAGGCTGGGGGCAAAGCGTTCACGACAAGCCGCGTAAGTCGGACAGGATACATCAATCCTATTAGACCAGATAAAATACTCGTGACAGAGTCTGCCATATTTGGGGGTAATTCAGGCCACTTGGGAAACAGAGGAGCCATGCGAGAAGAACCAGGATAGATTACTTTAAAGCACCCGGATGACTCAGATGCAATTCTTAATCTTCTTCAAAGATTTTGTTCGCGCGGTAGCCGCAGCAGACCCTTATTGCTGGGACTCTCGTGTAACCTATGTTATGTTAAGTATGGAGCAATGTGCAATTGGTGGCTGTGAAGCTTCATGACCCATAGAAAGGCCAGGATATATGGACGTCAGATCTATCTTTACGACACGGTGGTTTGCTTTGCAGAATAAGCCTGACGCTGTCAATCCATATCCATTCAATTCCTTCATCAGCTCTGGAAGATTTTCCTGGATTATTCTATGTGAGAACGGGAAAATTGCTGATGCTCTTGACAGCATTACATAATTACTGATGAGTTATCAATGTCCAATAGGTACTGTTATAACTGAATACAGTAGTATACCTCTTTATTTGGTGGCCAGAGGCTTGGAATATTTTAGTTTGCTTATCCTGTTTGCTCTCTAGTAGCCAATTATCAAAGCTTTTCTATCAGGAAAAAGTTAAATAAGTCTTACTGAGCTTCCTGACAAGACGGTTTGACTCACATAGCATGTTCTTGCGGGCTATAAGTAAGCCCCCATTGGTCTTCATAGAAACAACCGACACTTAAGAGGGAATAACCCGGATGACAAGTTGCACAGCCATCTTTCGTAACCATAAGCCTGGATCCAGGGCAATACCAAGCTGAGTTTCAGCGGCAGTACCAAAGGTGTTCATGAGGCTCTGCCGGAAGAGTTTCACTGCGTATTGTGGCTTGACCAGGAAGCCTGGTAGAGGTATAGCTGAACAGTTTTGAGAGTTACACAGGCTTCAATCAGGCATCCTCATAGTCTTGAACGCCTTTACCACCCCTGCCACCCTCTCCCGTCATGCTGCGGTTGGAATTTTTCATCTTTCGTCCTAATCTTGTTTTGGTGCTTCCCAAATGACAGCCAGGTCTGTCTGAAAATTGCGACGCGAGTGAGCCCTCAATAGCAGGAGACAGCAGCTAAATAGTCATTCAACCTGGTCTTCGATATGTACTAGCGTGAAATGGCCCTTTACTACACCTTCTCGGTCGTCTGGCGTTCATAGCTTCCGACATCATTGATCATTACTCCTCTCAGTTATCATGATGGCCATCTTATTACGGCTTACACTTCTATCGTTCTGAATGCATCCAGCTTTGTCTTCGCCTAGGACGTTGCCACGGGGAACCAAGCAACAGAACGGGTGGGATGGGTCGCTAATGACACGACCCGAAGCACTTCTCAGATTATTTTCTGCTGCGTATCTATCTTCCTTGTTTGCTCCTGGGAATGTGTGCACCTGAATATACCGAGCGTCGAAGAGAGCGAGGCCGGCTGGTATATGTACAGGAGCTGGCTGTATTACTGGCCCACGGCTCCTCTACGACGACTTTGGTTTCGGAGAATGGGATGGGTGGCTCTGATTGCCATTGCCCCGGAGATCGGAGTGGCAGTAGCCTTCGAAGAGCTAATGAAGGCGAGGAAACTTCTTAGGAGATACAAGCATATTGGCTTCACTATGCCCCACGCTTTTTATGCCTGTATGGGTGGGTATCGGGTGGTCATTCCCCGAGCCTTTCTCAATGAGGATGGTGACACTCGGGATGATCCAACGTTGATAGCTGGGACTGCACAGGGAGACAACGAACATTATCAAGTTTTAGTAAAAGATACTATGGTAGAAAAGACGTTATGTTATAGCCCTCAGCTGACGACCCTAGGTAAAAAACCAATACCTAACTGATTTGGGATCTGGGACACTTAGCCTAACATATTGCAGAGATACTAGATGAGCTAGGACTTTTCCTGGCAACTGAGGAAGCTTGCTTACAGGACCGAGGCCTGTCTCTTATGAAGGAGGAAGACATCCATAATGTCTCGACTTCAGATGCTGTTATCAAGGGGTTTGCTTTGTTTTCAATGCGTATGGCTTATCAGTTTGGACATCACGCGTGCAGCTGCGGGTCTGCCCATAAGCGCGCTTGAGCTGATGACACTGGCCTTTATATTTTGTGCCTTGATGATGTACGGCTTGTGGTGGTATAAGCCGTTTGGAGTTCAACGTGCCACCCTCATCCTCCTTCCTCAGAAGAAAGCAAGAGCTCTGTAAGATAGGGTGGTCCCGCCGAGAGCTGAGGGGAGAAGTCAAGGAATAGGTAATGTAGTCGAGACCTGGCTCGATTTGCCTCGTTTCTTCTTATATGATCCTTTCGACTAGAAAAGAAGCGAGTATGATGAGCCAAGATCCATAATCTGCAACCTCAGCTCTCTAGTCTTCTCTGGCTTCCATCTTGTTGCCAGGAACTGGGAATCTCCATCAGACACGACCAGCATGCTCTGGCGCATCTTTAGTCTGACTGCAACAGGTGCCCCTTTGGTCCTGATGAGTATTTCTGGAATCTTGCTTGTTCATTATGCGACGAGCTCCAGGGTGGGGTATAGGGCGGCTCTGAAGGTGGTGATGTATGGGACGAGTATCATTTATACCATCTCACGACTCAGCTTGATCATTTTGGTTTTTTATTGTTTCACTTCGATGCCGGCCGCGGTCTATAAGACAGAGCAATGGTGTCATTTCTTTCCCCATTTTGCTTGAGATAGTATCGAGAAAGCTAGGTTCAGACAACCAGATCCATGCAAATCGAGACATCGACTACGACATAAGTGCAGCCTCAAAAGGTCCTTCTATCAGTTGTAGTCCACTGGGATCGTCGACTGGATGGTCCGTGCTACAGGCCCACCAATCAGTTACTAAGCGAAACCCCAAGATTGGCCGAATTTATCATCATTTGCAGAACAACTCATCTTCGAGGGACTGAGCATACTACAAGGCAAGCATGGCCACCCTGACTCGGAGATCGTTCACTCGGGTTTTTACAGTGTGAAGGATAGGTTTCTCGGAGCCGGGCGGATCCACCCACCCACGGCTCCGGATACACCCAGACTGCTGGCCTGATTCATGACGCTGTTACAGCCTTCGAGCAGAAGGTCGGGACTAGCCTCTACTTTATTTGAGACAATGCCCTAGGCTTTGTGATTGAGCGGACACCCACGGAACCATGGCTTGTAGTGTCGTCGGGGAGAAGCCGTGGCTGAGAATGACGCCGTCCCCGCTTGGCGGGGAGGAAACTATTCCCTTGTCTTGTGCTCAAGCCTCTTGGCAGGAGGATGAACACTTGCTGGTCGTAATCTGATCCGTGGATGGGTCTGGATAGGAGTGATAGTTAGAGTGACAACTGGGTGACAATGTGGCGGCAGGATAGAGTAATGTGATCTCATGGGGGAGAAGGAGGGAGGAGGCAATCAGCTAGCCACCACCGGCCGGAGCGTGTACAGTTGTAAACTACGGACTTGTAGTATCCATCTTGTCGGCACCTTCCGAAACCTCCTCCGTGATGGGGATCGTAAGCCTGGGCAGGGGGAGAGAACGGATTTTCCCAACAGACGTGGATAACTCATCGATAGGTCGTGCGTGAGAGGACGATCATCGAGATCCAACGCGGCCCACTGGAGCAAGTAGCAGTAGTAGTATCTATCTAGTATCTATCTAGTAATAAGACTAGCAGCAGCAGAAAGGTTCAGGTTGATACTCCAACCGCCAGGCCACTAGGGAGGCTTGACTCCAAACTAGGGCGGGCTTAATTAATGCCGGACAGACGAATGGGATAGAATTAAGGTGAGAACCACCATGTTCTAGCGTTGGCGGGTCATCCAGATAATAGAGGAGCAACAAGACTAAGGGGAAGGATGGGAAGTTAAAGTTGTGGTGCCCTTGATTGATTGCTTGGATTGCTTTTGGATGCATTGCCTCTTCCGGTCAGTCCCATCCCCAATCCTCTCTCTCGCTCTCTCTCTCTTTCTCTTTCTCTTTCTCTTCCCATTTCGCTTTCTTCTTATTTTACATTCCTATTTCTCTCCCATTATCTGACTTCTTCTATCCTCTTTTTTCCATTTCTCTCTTCTGATTTATTTCCTATTGTTCTGCTGCGTGGTTGGTAGCTTCCAAACCCTCTAACTCTTACTCTACCTTTCCCTCCCCTCCCTTCCGCGTTCGTTCTCTTTGTTTCCTGCAATCACCCGGACACCAACTGTTTGCTACCAACTTTCTCATCTTCCATCAGCGTTCCTCTGACTCAACATCCTCCTCCTGTCATTTCTCTCCTCCCATCACCTCCCTTTCAGTGCGTGCTGGCTATGCGGATCGGGCCTCCCCGCCATCGGTGCCCATCTATCCGGTGCTGAACGACTGCAGTCGATGCCGGCCATCTCGACCCTCTTCCGCTTGGGCTCTTCGATGCGAATCACACCATGGCACCTCCATACTCCAGTTCCCAGGCCGCCTTGACCGGCTATACGCCCTCATTCCTGTCGCTGCAGGACCAGAACCCTCCGCTCTCCGCCTACTCCATCCTAGGGACCGGACAATACCCTGATAGTGTCGCATTCTGGCACAATCCATCCGCGCAACCCCAGCCGCCGCTACCTCCCGCCGCCGTCGCTGCCTCCTATCCGTCCGTGCCCCCAAAGCCCCAGTCGCTCCTTCAACCCACCTCCGATCAGAAGAAGCATAAGCGCACTCGCAGTGGCTGTTTCACCTGTCGATCCCGTCGCATCAAGTGCGACGAAGCACGTCCCGTCTGCGACAGATGTCGGAAGGGTAACCGCGACTGCGTCTATCCGTCAGCCACAGGTGCATCCAAGTCAGGAACCCGTAGTGTGTCCAAGCCCAGAGGATCACTGTTGCGTGGGAGTGAGACTTCCGGTCACCCGGGATCCGAGGATTTCCGCGTCTTGGAGCCTATCGCCGACGAGGATGAAGATGGAACTAGTGTCGGGTCAAGTACCCGACTGTCCCCAACAGCCGCACCCACATGGACCAAACCTAACCTCCCCAGAAGACAAAGTGGTCAGTCTTTGAAGCAGCAGGGTGGAAGGCATACTGTTGCGACCGACTCGGGTGGTGCACGGATTGAGCATAGTAATTCGCCGTCCCCGTCCTCGGATACGTCATCTAGATACGACTCGCTAAGCGCTCGGTCGGCCAGCGTTGGTGTCACCCTGCCCGAACCATATGGATCCACTCTGCCCAGTATAGCACATCTGCCCGACGACCTGCGATTTTATCTCAACTACCACCAAGAGTTCATCACGTACCGTCATTATTTCTTAAAACCGGTCAATGACCGGTTTGTTCATCAGAGTATCATTGAGCTGGCGTTGCAGTATGATCCCCTGCTGTATGCCGTGGTGGGTTTTTCTGCATACCACCACTGTGTTCAAAACAACAGTGGGAAGCTTTACACCTTTTTAAAATATTACAACTTCGCGTTGAAGCTCCTGCGCAAGTCTCTCGGCTCAGGTGAGCCGCATAATGAGGCAACCCTGATCACGGTGCTTGTCCTCACCACTTTCGAGGTAAGACATTCAGCCTGCTTTTGTGCTTTTCAGAACCATACTGACTCGCCAGGAATCCGTCGGGGACTGGGTCAACCTAATTGGCCACCATCAGGCTGCTCATGCCTTGGTGCGGGAGATTCTAACGCCAGAGTCGGCCAATTTGAACGAGCTTCACAGCAACATCTTCGTCTGGTACGCCCGATTCGACGTGGTGGCAGGAATCTTGGCCGGAAATGAGACGATACTAAGTCGTGACTGGTACGTTGCGAAAGAGGAATATGATGCTCAGGAAGCCGCCCGCCATCCAAATGATGCAATGAAGCAACTGGCGTTGGCAAATTCGATCAACCGCCGGTTTGGCTTGGAAATGGCATCGTTGTATGCGAAGTTGTCGCGTGGACTGATTCCTGTGAATGAGTTTATCGTCCAGAACGAATTGTTGGGACAGACCTTGGAAAGGGTACGGACCATCCTGGAATCGTTCAACGACTCTGAGTACACCGTGCAGGAGTACCCCAATCGCGTCCCCTTGACCTCGGACGATGTCGTGGATCCGTATGTTCCTAGGGGAATGCACCACGGGCCCTTGTGGGAAGTCAACATGACGTGGGTTGACTACTACTCCACCAAGGCTATGTACAAGTATCAGTCACTTCTTTCGGTAAAGCAATCATCGGTGGAAGAACTGCAATCCCTCTCGGTGGAGCTGGTTCGGCTGATGGAGGCGGTTGATCGATGGCCGATGAAAGAAAGCGGATGCATCCTAGCGTTCAAGAACAGCATCGGGATGGCTGCCATGTTCTGTCCTCGCGACGAGCGGTACATAATGTGGGCGCGGAGGAAGTTTGCCCAGCTGGAGCAAAGCGGGTGAGTGTTGCAAGTCGGGAAAACGCTGGGTCTCAGCTAACCGTGTGGGATTAGATACGTCGTTGCAGCCACATTCCGGGCGGCACTGGCAGCCTCGTGGCAAAAACCCGAAGTCAATCGCTGGTGGTTGCCAGACGACGAAGGATACCCGAGCATCATCCGTGAGGTGCGAGCGATGACGGAAGAACGCACGAGCCACCCTCGAGATAACTTCCGCGAGGATGTCAGCCATATGAAGACGTTGTTTTGGAATATCAGCCTGGATGACACCTCCAGCGAGGGGAGTCCCGCATCGGTGAATACGGAAGGTCGATCATGACAGCCTGCTGTACCACTGCAGCTGGTTGCACAACAGACGCAACATGCTTGACTGTGCATAACGAACGAGTACATACAAACACCCAAGCACAGCATGGAATTCTACAGTAACGAATCCAACGATGATCCTTACCCTCCTCTACCCGGTCACGCATGGTCACCGCTACGCCTTAATGAATAATCACTGGTTGTCTGATGACCCAACCCACATTCGTTTGCTCTCGCAATGTGACATGCATGACTGGAACGAAATGATACCCGGATACCACACGAGGATTGGCCTGGAGCAAGAGATTGGATAGGATACCTGTCTACTTATTTACGTACCTACATACATACATACCCACTGGATCATATACATGCGCTAGATACCCAATATACGGTCTACACATCATACAGAACAATAAACACACTATACATATCCACCCTAAGAACCAAAACCAGCCTGACCTCTAGATAATCCCACCCTCCCCGGCACCTCCACAGCAGGCACCACCGTCTCCAATCCCCCCCTCAACTCCCCAATATTATCCGCAACCCCCATCTCCTCCCCCCACGGCAACCCATCCACATCCACCTCCCACCCCAGCAAGCACCTCAACACCACCCCGGCCCCAGCCTTACTCATCACCTCATTCATCTCCTTACACCTCTCATCACAACAACACTCCAAACACCCCTGCGGCATCACACATCCACACGCCTCAATCCGCCTCACAGCCCGTTCCAACAACACATCCACAAACTCAAACGCCTTCGCCGCAATCCCCGACCCACACGCTCCCCCCTTCGCATCATAAAACGTCAATCTCGCCGGCCTCTGTCTCGCAGGTGGATGTACAATCTTCTGCAACTTCTGCTTATCTATCCCCCCCGACCCCTTTGCATCCTGTACAGCCATCTGTAACTTCCTCCCCAACTCCTTCTTCGCAACCTTACATTCCGTCCGAACATCCCCCGGCGACGAAACCACGAAGGTAGGTAATAGTGACAGGATCGCGTGTTCGGCTGCGTGTATCGCTGCTGCGATGTTGAGGTTTCTTGATGAGAGGATCTCTAATGCGAGGGGCGGGATGTCGATCCACATTCCTTTCGTGTGGATGTCGATCGGGGGGTTGTTGTCCACGGGTACGGCGTCGAGGATGCGCCCTCGTTTGTCGATTTTGAAGAATCCGTAGACTACAGCGTGGATGAGGATCGAGCCGAAGTAGGCTTTACTTACACCATTGGTATTTGTTTGGGGAGTGGGAGTTGAGTCTGAGGATGAAGGTGTAGTGTGTGAGGGTGTAGATGTGGAGAGCAGACGGATATTCTCCGTCTCGATGGGGTCGATGTCGGTGTAATCGCGTTGTTGGGTGGTATAATCCACATGAACGCGGGAGACACGGGCGAAGTACATCGATGTGTTGAGTTCGTGTACGAGATACGTCTGCCCCTGGTGGAGGAAGATACCCCCCTCGTAGATGGTGAAGAAGGCGCGGGAGGCTTCGACTTCTTCGAGGACGGCGTTGCGGGCGTTCGTCGTGTCTATGACGGCGAAGTGCTGGTCCTCGGTATCGCGGATGGCGATGGAGCGGGATGGGGTGGGGAGGAAGCGCGGGTGGGTGTGGTAGAGGGAGGGGACGTATTTATCTTGGAGGAGGCGGGATTGCAGGAGGGTATGCAGTTGAGGACCGAAGTATATTTCGTCGATAGCAGGGGAGAGGGGTTTCTCGTAAGCGGCGCATTGGAGATGCGCTTCGAGGATGAGGTCGTTCGACAGGTCGATTTGCAGCTCCGTGTTTGGTTTCGTGAACAATTCGTCTGGATTGCGCATGTAATGCTGGTCTGTGGCGTAGCGGTCTCCGACTAGGATGGAGAGTGAGTCCTTGTTCCGACGGCCGGCGCGGCCGCTTTGTTGGCGGAGGTTGGAGATGGAGTAGGGGAATCCTAGGGTGATGACTGCGTCGAGGGAGCCGATGTCGACGCCTAGTTCGAGGGCATTGGTGGCTACGATGCCCAGGAGACGGCCCTCGAACATGTCCTTTTCGATATTGCGGCGGTCTTGCGGGCTGTAGCCGCCGCGGTAGCCCATGACCATGTTGGCGATTTCGGGACGGTCGAGGGCGGCGAGTTCAGTGCGCACAGCTTGGAGGAGGACTTCGCAGAGTTTGCGGATGCGGCAGAAGGCGATGACGCGAGCTCCACGGAGGATGAGTTGGGAGAAGAGACGGGCTGTTTCGGAGACGCTGTCGGCGCGGCCGGAGGAGGGGTCGTTGGGGTCTTTGTAGGGGGTGTTCCAGCAGAGGAATTCCTTGCGGCCGGAGGGGGAGCCGTCGGAGTCGATGAGGTGGATGGATTGGGGGTCGACGCCGAAGATGGCGTGCATGTGTTGGGAGGGGTTGGCGACGGTGGCGGAGCAGGAGATGAATTGAACGGAATGGTTGCCGACGGCGGCGCAGATGCGACGGAGACGACGCATGATGAAGGCAACGTGGGTGCCGAAGAGGCCGTTGTAGACGTGGAGTTCGTCGACGACGACGAATTTGAGGTTCTGGAGGAAAGTCCGCCAGGCGGCTTCTTGGGGGAGGATGGTGATGTGGAGCATGTCCGGGTTAGTGAAGATGATGCGGGCTTCGTCGCGGATGAGGTTGCGGTTGGACATGGGGGTGTCGCCGTCGAAGGTTTCGACGAGGGTGCCTTGGAGGCCGTCTATGAATTGAAGGAGCTCTTGCATGCTGCGGCGTTGGTCTTGGGCTAGGGCTTTGGTCGGGAAGATGTATAAACCGCGGGCGGAGGGATTGCGTTCGAGTTCGTGCAGCATGGGGACTTGGTAGATGAGGGATTTGCCGGAGCTGGTGGAGGTGGATACGATGACGTGATGGCCGGCATGGAGATGGTTGATGGCTTCGGCTTGGTGGGAGTAGAATTGGGTGATATTCTTGGTGTTGTATAGGGCGTTAACTAGGTTCTGGGAGAGTGGGAAGGTGAGGTCGCCGTAGATGGCCGGCTGGGGGTCGAAGACTCGGTGGCCTTCGGGGACGATCTGCGCTGTGTACCAGTCCATTTGGCGGATCTCTTCCACGATCTCTGACATGGATTTGCGTTCTTTGGGGATTTGTTGTGGGAGGGTGGAGGGTGCAGTGATGGGTGTATCGTCCTCCGGCGGCTGAGGAATCCAGGCGTGCTTTTCCGTCTCCAATTTTTCGACCGGGTCGACGGCTTCGTCTTCGCACTGGACGAGAAAGGCGTCAATTGCATCGGTGAATTTCTTGTTTCGCTTCTCGATCAGGCCTAGCATCTGCTTCTGGCTGTACACCGGCATCTTTAGATCCTCGTTCTTCATGCGCCGCACGGGCTTGGTTGGCTCCCCGGTCTGCGGATGCCTCACTTGTCTCTTCAGATCTCCGTCCAGCAGCTCAAAGAGGAGTGTCTTTTTTGTGGGCATTCCTCCATCGCCGTGTGTATCCCTTCCATAGCCTAGTTGTGTTGCTTCCCGGTCTCCAGTCGTCATGACCTCCAGCTTGGCCTCATCGACATACTCAAAGCGCACTGCGCGTGGCACGAGGACTTTCACCCGCGCAACATCCTCCACGGTCAAATCCTGACCTTGCATTTGCGCCTGAACCGCATTCTTGATGTTGTCAAAAGTGGTAGCAAAGTGCTTTCGCGTGCAGCAGAAGGTGTACACGAGGTTCAGGGCGCGGTGTGTCCGGGCGAGGCTCTTGAATGCCTCTGGCCATGGGGCGGACGGAGTTCGCTTCGGTTGTGCGGGTTTGCGTTTTCCTTTGGAAGGTTTCTCTGCAGTTGAGCTGGCACTTGTGCTGTCTTCTGTCTCCGGCGTCTCTGCCGGTGACTTCGACGGGGGTTTGCGACGTTGCCTTTTCTTTGGCGCTGGGTCTGTCGACGCGCTGTTGGATACGGGGTCGGAATGCCCGGGGGCATCTTGCTCTGGCTCTGGCTCATCTTGGGCTCGTTTCCGGCCCGATAGGATGCCTGCATTGTCCGCTTGTTCTTTCGAACCGGCCATGGTGACGCCACATTGTGCATGCGGTTGATGCGCGTTCTAATATCAATATTCGAGGTGAAGCAGGTTTCGAATGCGCAGAAACGCGATGTCACGTGCATTCAATATTACCTAAATGGGACGTCGGCCGATAGTCTTTCATTCGGAGTACACAACAAGGCTAGTCGGACATGGTTAGTCAGGAATACTGGCCGAATGGCGCAATGGTAGCGCGTTTGTTTTCGGCACAAAAGGTTGCGCGTTCGAATCGCGTTTCGGTCGGATATACTTTTGCTGATTGTTTTTGCTTTTGGGGGAGGGATTATTCTCCGAAAGATAATCTTGCAATAGAAACGCCATTATTAATGTAGCCATTGTTAATGTGTAACCGTTTTTGTGAGTATAAATAACTAAGATGCCACGACATCCGAGCGCATGGCCGGGTTTTCATCGAGACTAAGAATGGGCATTTGGACTGTCAGTATGCGATATGGTGACTAGCTTAGTGTTTCTCTAATTAGAACCACTGGTCAGACCAGCGAACTACGGTTCCTCGTCAAGGAGCTCTGATCAAGTGTCAAGTGTCAAGTCGGCGAGTCTCTGTTTCAGTTCCAGTTGGGGAACGGTTCGCGCGCGCTAAGAATAACCCGTTTAGGGCTGTCAGGCGGCGATCATAAGAGGTGTTGTTATGCGGAATCCGGGGAAAAAAGGGTCCTCTTCTTGAGACCCTGAATGCTCATCATCACCTCCATCATCAGTATCCTTCTCGTTCATCTCCATCCAGATATTGTCCGCTATTCCGGCCATCTCTTAAGGCCCCATCCAACCAAACCACTATGCTCCTTTGTCCCAAATATAGCATCCCAACAGCTTGTCTTCGTTTCCGCCCAAAATGTCGCTCTTGGCCAGGCGTGCCAAGGGTCTCTGCCTCCCTTGGCGTCTCAGTCTGACCCCCTGAAAAATTCCACCATTAATTCATCATGGCTGCCTGGTCGTTTCTATCACTTCGGCTGCTTTTCCTGTCGGTCTGGTTGTACTCTCCAACATAGCTGGATGGTCATCCGTCAGACTCCCATTTCACCATGCGCAGTCACCACTTAACCGCCTATCTGCTGCTCCTGTTACACAGCCAACGGGCCTACTCCGACCTGGGTATACAAGTTAACGATGCCGGTATGCCATAACCCTCATCCAATGCCCAGCTACATGTCCTCTAACCCTCATGTCAATAGACTCCCTCACAAACGCCGGCTCCACCATCGCCGACCCCTTGATGGTCTTCTACAAACAGAACCAAACCGAAGGCATCCCCGGCAAGCTCACAGACACCTGGTACATCGCGGGGGCCATGTTCATGACCCTGATCCAATTCTGGCAGGCCTCGGGCGTCGAGACCTACAACTCCGTCGTGCAGCATGACCTGATGTTCCAAGCGGGAGAAAATTACGACTATTTCTCCTCCAACTACAGCCAATGGCTGGTACGACCCCCGCTCCCTCTTTCAATATCACCCAGTCCAATTCTGGCTATCAGCTCAACTAACAATATATCGATATCTACAGGGCAACGACGACCAAATGTTCTGGGGTCTCGCCGCCATTACCGCCTCCGAAACAGGCTTCCCCGAAGTCTCCGGCAAACCGTCATGGACGTCTCTCGCGCGCGCTGTCTTCAACATGCAAGTCAACCGCTGGGACGACACCACCTGCGACGGCGGCATGCGCTGGCAGATCTGGCCCTACCAGGCCGGGTACACGATGAAGAACGCCATCTCGAACGGGGGGCTCTTCGAGCTGTCTGCCCGACTCGCCCGATTCACCAAGAACGATACGTATGCCGAGTGGGCGGAGAAGATCTTCGACTGGTCGGAGACAACACCGCTGCTGAACACGAATACCACGATCTGGAACGTGGCAGATAGTACATCCAACGAAGCCAACTGCAAGGACATTGGGAATAACCAGTGGACGTATAACTACGGGACGTATCTATCTGGTGCGGCGTTCATGTATAACTACGTACGTCCTCCACCCCTCCTGCTTCTGCTTCTGCTTCTTCACAAACAGCTGCCCTAACAAAGAATAAATGGAAATAGACGAACGGCTCCACCAAATGGGAAGAACGAGTAAACAACCTCCTCACCTCCATCACGACCAAATTCTTCCCCGAAAACTACAACAACGGCACCGTCCTCTCGGAAGTAACCTGCGAACCGATCCTATCGTGTGACCGCAACCAACTCGGCTTCAAGGGGTACGTGGCAATGTGGCTCGCGTTCACGGCCCTGCTTGTCCCGTCGACACACGACATCATCCTCCCCAAACTGCAAGGCTCCGCGGCAGCCATCTCGAAGCAGTGTTCGGGGACTGGCGACGGTCTGGAGAATCTGTGCGGCGTGCGCTGGCACCAGGATACCTGGGACGGGAGCATGGGGCTGGAAGTGCAGATGAGTGCGTTGGGCGGGGTGACGGGGGCGTTGATGATGCTGGGGGATGGGAGTTCGGGACCGCAGACGATCGATGAGAATCCCGATGCGGCGGAACATCATATTGATACGAGTGAGGATGAGAAAGACCCGACGGCAAAGGAGAAGATTGAGACGGGGGATAGAGCGGGCGCGTGGATTTTGACGGTCCTGTTGGCCGGGTTGATGTTGGGTGCTGTGGGGTGGTTGGTTAAGGCGCAGTGATATCCCCGCCCTCCTGTTTTCTTCTTCTCATTTTTCTTTCTTTGTCGTGGGAAACATTAGGGTGTATGCGTTTATGGGTTCGTGTATATGGGTTATGGACATATTGTACTGCTTGTTTCGTTCGGCAGTTGTTGATTATTTGGGTTGCTTGCTTGCTGCACAGCCTTCTTCTATTCACATTAGTTTACTATACCATCGCAGGTCGATAGCACATATTTATTTATCATTTGATATCAGTATCTCAGAAATATACCTAGTAGTCATTAGACACTGTATGCAGTACTGGATAGATAGATATCAGATCGAGACACACTTATTAAAGGTAGTAGGAGCAGTAATATGAGCTATCGTCCAACATGACACATCGAATTGATACGTAACATAGTATATCAAACTGACTCGTACCTGCTGCTACACTGTACCACATAGTGGTAATGATAGACAATGCATACATACATGCATGTAAGCAGACATCCATCCATCCCACCCTGATCAACTCTGCATGATTTCATCTAATCGCGATAAGATTAGCTTAGCTTAGCTTCTCGTGAATGTCGATCCAGAACTACGTACCTGGGTCACCACGTAAGAACTAGGCTAGATCAGTCTATAGTAGTTACTGTGGATCACCACTATCTACTCCATAATATCTACTTCTATCTACTCTCTACCAGTATCAGCATCTGCAATACAGCACATACAACTTAATATACTAGTAGTAATAAATACCTCCTAAACCAAGGAAAACATACACGAAGAGAATGGCTGTGTATACTGAAAGAAAAAGGAAAAAAAAGTGATAAATGAAATAAACAAAAGAAATGTAAAATAAATAGGTTGATGGTAATTCCCCCAAGCCACGCAAGACACAACCCCGGTTTCTTGACTCCTCGGCCCAAATGCAAAATGCCAACCCATTTGGTTAAGTTTTTTTTCTTCTTTCCTATGTAGATGGTGTAGTAGTTCCTAGATTCTAGTCCGTTGGTAGGGACTAGGACTGCTGCTGGTGATGGTGGTAGTAGTAGTTGATTACTGGCGCTTTTTGAAGGTATCCAATAGACATGTTTGTGTGCTGCTGCTATTGCATGTTCATGCTCACTGGTATTCCTGGAGGTCGCGAACAACGCGGTATAATTCCTTGGCGAGGTCTTCGCTTCCGGTCTACGGGGGTCAGTCAGCTTTGATTCAGCTGTTGTAGGTGATGATGGGTGACTTACTCTGAGCAAGATCGGAACAGAGCGGCCACTTTCCAAACTGGCTAGGTTGATCTGCTTCGACTTGGGCTCCTTGCCCTGTCCATCACCAACCGTCATTCCCTTGAAAATGGGCGTGTTCAGCATCACGCGCAACACGCCGTCTGCGCGCATGATCATGCGAGCTGCCTTCTTGTCCTCTACGCCGTCCGTGACACGGACGTTGACCTTGAAGGTCCCAATGCCACGCTCTCTCCACTCTTTGTTCGTGAAGTGGAACAGCTTGGCTTTACATGAGAAGTATGTCTTCTCGTTCTCCTCGCCAGTCTCGACTGCGCTTCATTAGCTCGATCCAATGATTCGAAATTCGATGGACCACTTACTCGGACGTTCGAAAAATCTCTCGTCCGTCTTGTCCTGCTCGAACTCTCCCGGGCCGCTGTCACCGGCTTGTTCTTCATCTTCCTCCTTTTCTTCCTCGTCTTCGGGTGCTCCGAAAGCAGACGTCTTGGAGCCGCCCAGAACACTGGGAGCACTAGGGGAGGCAAAGCTCGTAAGTCCACCGGCGGGCTTGGCTGCCGCAAAGCCACCGCTGAACCCAGAGAAGCCAGACCCTAGCGCGGCGAAACCCGATGTGCCGGCTGCAGAAGCAAATCCAGTAGCAGCCGGCTGGGGAGAGTCCGTCGATGCCGGCGACTTGAAGACAGAGGGTGTGGAGCTTCCGAGGGAGCCAAAGGGCGATTGTTCCGAGCTGGCGAACGCGGCCAGACTTGACGCAGCAAAAGCAGATGATGATGTGGCGGCAGCGGGTTTTGCTTCTTCTTCCTTGGCCTTCGCACCGATTGCCCCGAAAGGCGAAACCGACGATGTATTCGCAAACGCACTGGTAATGGGAGCCTGTCAAGCACCGCAGCGCATCAGCTTCTATACTCAACATACCATACCCACATAGCACTTACCGATTCCTTCTCTCGCGCATCATCCGTATGTCTCTTCTTCTCGGGCTGTCCTTCCACTTCAGACTTTTCCGTCGAGGTCTCCTCCGCAGCATTTTGGTCCGCTTTCTCGCCCGGAGCACCAACTGTCGATTCATCCTTATCCAACTGATCCCTGCTCCTCTTCTTCTTCGGAACCGCAATATCCCGTGTCACTTCCTCTCCCTTCTGTAGCTGCGGGACTTCCACATCGACATCGGCATTTGCATTCTCCTCCTCGGAGTTCGAGTCGCGCGACCGCTTGCGACGGTGGCCTGCATCGTCTTCGTTCTTCTCCGGCTCATCCTCATCGAACGATCGCTTCCTGCCCCTGCTGCTGGCCCTGCTGGAGCTTCCTTCCTGCGTATTGCCGGTCATGTTGGCGTCGCCGTCCGTCGAAGTCTTGGGAGCCGAAGTGATGGAGGTTTCTTTTAATTTGTGGCGGACGGGGCGCTCACCGCCGTCGTTGTCGGATGCTTGCGAGTCGTCTGCAGCTGTAAGGTAGAGTAGACCAATCAGCTATCACATACCTATCCGTCAAGACCGAAGATAACATACCTTGACGCTCCAGCACTTCCTTCTTCGTCTCGTCTACTGTTCCCACTCGTCAGTACAATCATCCAACCTGCAACACTCCGCGACCGCAAACGAAGAAAAATTCAAATCAGGAGACACATAATATGTACCTTCCACCCCACCATTCCTCTGAGGATCCGCAGCCATTTTGATATAAATCGGTCCAATAAACAACGCTTGCCGATGGAAATGTATCCGCGATACGGCCGAAAGGGGAAAATGTAGCAAGAAATTATGTGTTGTGCTCACGCCGAGGACATGCGTTCTAGGCAAGCGATGGAAGCGAAACAACCGGGTCGAGTGTATCCGATAAACGAACTCTGCAGGACAGGGTAAACGGAAGATGTTAGCCCATTGGAATAAGTACAGGCAGCTGCATAGGAATACTAGCTCCCTTGCGATAACAGAAAGACAGGTCAGGTTGGTTGGTTGGCCGACCCGCGGACGCAATGCGAGGTTGCAAGCTTGCAGGACCATGCGATGTGCTCAGAGGAGAGGGGGGGAGAGGGGAAGGGTGATCCAGCAGATCTACTGGGGACAGTACGAACAGAGATAAATGGATATCGTACAAGTTTGACTGGAAGTCAGTCTGGTCGGACGAGCCCGCAGTGATAGATAGCTAGCAGGCAATCAAGCAAGCAAGCAAAGCACTGAGGCTGAGGGGAACGTCAGAGATGGACGGGGCAGCGGAGGGACGGGCAGGACGTACTGCAGAGAAAGGTGGGCAGAGGGGACAGATAGGTATCTGTATCTTAGATCCTTCTGCCTCTTCTATTTCTTCGTTTTCGCAAAGGAAAAGAGGGGAATGGAAAGGTGAAGGCGGCGTTGGGGGAACTACGGCGGTTAATAGCGGCCATCGGGCAAATGCAATTTTTTGGTGTTTACTGCCGGCAGAATTAGTATGTAGCTGATTGGATCATGTAGCTTATCTAATATACCTATCTATATTTATATAAAGCTGTACGTACACTATTGGATGACTTGCTTAGCTTTGTTATACAGATGACTACTAGTCCTGAGTATTATGAAGAAATGCAAGTCTTATCCAGGATATTATACACAGGTATCCTGTATAACTAAAATACAGGTACAGGTGCAGGTATATATTAATAATTAAGAAAATAATTATATGCACTTAATTATCATCAATGATAATAAACTTATTATTAATAAGATTAATGACTAGTACCTCCTTAACGTCCGGATCCTTCTTCTTGATTAGAGAATCCGGATATGTTAGAGATACTAGTATAATAACTACTTCTTTCTTCTCTTTCTTTTTTTCTATAATAATTAAATCTGAATAAGAGGCCCCCGGTACAGGCAATCCCCTGTTGATAACAGGTATAAAAGGCTGAGCTTCCTGTAAGATATTTTATACTAAATCTCAGACAGTACAGCTGTTACTAGCATCAGGCTATTTACAGTTGGTATAAGCACCGCTGAATATACTTAGTAAATAGTAATATTCTGGGAAAACATCTTCTATACTATTACGGTATCTGGAATATAGGGCTGGCGGACAAATTTCCTGAGATTATATCAGCAGGGTATTGATATAACTTATTCAGTATATTATAATCTGATAAGTATAAATCTAGCTATATCAGAACTTAATAGATTATACTCCTGGCCGGGCAAGTACTTGCAGTTCTATATTAGTATATATAAACAGAGCTAGTCAACCTAGATCTCTTACAGGAATTATAGAATTAGTACCAACCGGAAGCCCCTTGTATAACAACATCCAGTATTATTCAAGATCGGGAGGAGCGGGGACAGGCAGATAACAGCTAGCAGGTAGATTAGAAAGAAAAAAAAAAATACTAATATAATAGTTATTAGTATTATTATTATTATTATTATTATATAAATATATTATAAAGTCAGTTTTGTCCTATACAATAAAAATAAAATAAATAGATAGAAAATCAAGCTCAGTAATCTGTTTTTAATTATCTAATATATACGCAGACATCTTGGTAGTGGTGGTAGTAATAATAATAGTAGTAGTAATAATAAATATATTAATAGAAAGTAGAGATAGAAGATAAAGATTACTTAGTAGATTTAAACTAATACTATATTCACTGTTTTAACTATTTATTTCTTATTTTATATATATAAAGATCTTATTATTATGGACCTTACTCTGCCTGTCTTAGCCTGCTGTACGAACCCACGATCCTGCTATCTAGTAGAGTAATATATAATTAAAGATCTGATAGCTTATATTTAGCTGCCTGATTTTTGTTATTTTTCCTGATCACATATCTCTTCCTCGTATAATGAGGTGGAGAGGGAGACTGGGATAGCTGATGCTTTAATAAAATATTCAAAGTCTTTATCTTAGTATCCAGAGTATTAAGATCATCCTGATCTTTTTATATAGTTAATCTTTCTTATATAACTAACTTCTTCTTTTTAATAATTTTTTTCTTAATCTTAGTCTCCTCTGCCTTATCTGTAGTAGAGAAAGGTATTGTATAACACTAAATAATTATATAAATCTGGTATAATTTATTAGTAAGTATAAACTACTTCTTTAAGAAATCTAGGGCCTTTATATTATCTCTGGTTATTAAAAATAGAAAGACTGGTTGCTTTTTTATAATCTCTGTTAATAAACAGAAATAATCCCCTGTACTGTATATATATATACAGCTAGTTATTAAGGAAAGCAGCTCATCTCAAAAAAAATTATTAAGGCTATTAAATATATAATTATTAATATAAATCTGTATTTATTCTATAGGATAACAAGATTAGCATCATACGAGTGTTAAGAATAGAAAATTAAACCTAGTAAAATATATATAGTAATTAGAATATCATCTTCAGATTCCCCTTCCTGTATGTTGTATAGATAAAAATGAATAATAATCTTTATACCAGCTGGATCTTTTGAAGACTTTTTATATAAGAGGACTTTCTGGCGGACATTCTCTCCTCTAAAAACTGTTGTATGAGGACCACCACCAGATGAGGCAGTCTGTATATATAAGCCAGATTATATAGGTTGTGGCTTAGGTAATATAGTAAGATTAATATAAATAGTCTGCTTAGATACAGGATTAACTGCCTGGCAGGTCGGATACTGTAGAAAATAAGTAAGATAAGATTAGCCAGTAGCAGAATAGTAAGAAGTCCAGGGAAAAATTATTATATATAAGAGATATCTTAGATAAGTAATATCTTATATAAAAGATATTGATTTTTATTCTGTATAGTAAAGAGCAGGATCTTAAGACTTTAAATAAGTAATAAAATAGAAAGAATAATAAATAAAGAGTATACAGCCATCACAGATAGCTACTTTAATTTTTATTATTTAATTTAATTAAAGGCCCTAGTTAATATCTTAGATAATATTAGATTAGGCTTAGTATTTAATCTTATATATATTATCACCCGCTCCTGTAAGCTAAGATAGATTATACAAAAAGGGGCTTCTGCTTTGTCCGGACATACTAGTAATAACTTTTCAGAGTCAAAGTCCAGTTCTAGTAAGATTTTTTAATATTATTTTAAAATCTCTGCAGGTAAATATTTTGCCATATTCCAGTCTTATATAAAGTTTCTTAGCTGCTGGAGAGACTCTTCATATATAAGAAGATCATAGTTAATTATATATTCTAAATAATAATAATTTATAAATAGCTGATTAGAGATAATATATAGCCTCTCTTATTACTTCTGGATACTATGTTAGTTCCAGGTATGTACATATAATAAGACCTGCGTCTGAAGAATAGGCATGTAAACTATATATAAAGTAATCTAATCTAGAATTATATCTTTAAAGAAATCTTCTACTTTAATCAAGGTCTTAAAATAGTTCTATATTAGTTAATACAGGAGTAAACAAGGATTAGTCTATCTATATATATATAATATTAAAAAAGTAATAATTTACTTAGCTGTACCTACCAAGATTTAATTCTCTGATTTACAGTACTGGATCTAAAAATATAATATTATATTGCCTTAATCTCTGGCTTATATACTTTTCAAAGATAGCAGTGGGCTTTAACAAGTAAAGATATCTCTGATTTATAGTCTGAACAGATCTTATTACAGATAATCTTCTGTTTATATACAGTATCAAGATATTACTGTACAATACTGACTGATATATGAGTATTGATGCCAATATAGATCCAGATAATATAGCAAGAGTATGTGTTAATAGCTGTGTAGATTTAGATACTGTACAGATTTAGCTTTATATAACCGTCCACGGACCAGATATAATCTAGTCCAGGAACTATATATAAGCCATGACTTTACTATATATTATTCTTCCATTATTGTATAGCCTCAGGTGCAATTATATAGTAGATATTATATAGCCGATATCTATAAGATCTCAGTTAGTAAGAAATTAATATATAATAATCCTCTATACAGACCTTAGAATAATAAGATATTTATTATGTATATAAGCAAATAAAAGCTCTTATTTATAGCCTTGGATAGTCTTTTTATTATATATCTCAAGCAGGTACTTCGTAGCTATATTATCCTGGAGTTAATATTTACTAGAATTATCTATTCATCAGACAAGGCCTTACTCCGTACAGATTCACTGAAGTATTTATGAAGAGACAGTATATTCTTCAGCCTGTATAGTATATAAAATCTCTGCATCAGAGAGGCATCTCTCAAAGAACAACTCCTTAATCCGGCTGTGTAGAGAAGAATCAGTGGTAGCTGTATAATCATGCTTACTAACACCCCAACCACTCAACCTGGTCTTGATTATATACTTGCTGACTTGTACGTGGTATCGTGCCTCAACAATAGAGATAATACGAGCTGTAGAACAGTCCTGATGAAACAGACTGATAATGTCAGCCTTGTACGGCTCAAGATCAATAAAAGAAGGCATGTTTAATGATGATTAGAAAAAGAATCCGTACAGCATCATGCAGAGTATCATGAGATCCTAATTCGGATGCGGTATGTAGAGCGGTAAAGGGACATCAACGCATTTGCCCGATGGCCGCTATTAACCGCCGTAGGGGAACCCACGAAGTCGGAGGAACAGACGCAAGCGGGTGACGGAGTGCTTTGTTGTCTCGCTCGGGCGGACAAGCTCGGTTTGCTGGTCGCTCCGGTCACCGCTCGCTCTCCACCCCGCAGCTACTATCGACTATAGGGATATTGGAACAGGGTTCTATTCGATCTGAACATACAAAACGCAAATGGGAAATCATCCGGAATTGATACAACACAGAAATCCACGCTGACTGACTGACTGACTGACTGACTCCTCCGTCTTCATCCTCATCTTCATCTTCACATCGTCCCACCGACACCATGCCTACGCCATCATCATCTCCTCCTCATCCACCCTAACTGATAAAGCAGAGACACCCGATCGCAATATAAAACACAAACAGCGGGTATACTGCAATGCCGACCCGGTTGCGCAACACGCCCGATCCACCCAGGATACTCACGCCCGCCGCCAGCGACCACGCAATCAGCACAAGATACACCGGTATGCGCGCAATAGTCGGGAGGCCAAAGGCACTGAGCAGAGAGGCAATAACCAGAGGGAAGAGCGTGTATCCGATAATACAAACCGACTGGAAGAACGAGCTATTGAAGGAAGAAAAGAAAACATTAGCAATTGACCACCATCCAACCAATATTGGAAAAGAAGAACATACATATTCCCACCAAGCAACTTAATCTGCAACGTCACGACCGCCTCCCCAATCCACACGATGGAGAAAACGCCCGAGAACACCAGCGACGACTGCTCATCCTTGGCGCGCATGGACAAGAACATACTCAGCAGGAGGCAGAAGATCAAGGGACCCCTAGAACCATCACTCGTTAGCACATTCCGTCCCCAAGTAGACAACGATAAAAGAATCAACCCACCAAAGATCCCAATCCCTCAACCCTTCACTCATCCCACCCTGCAGCACAACATCGGCATCCGGCCAGCGTCCTACCATGTTCCTCAACCCACCCCCAAAGCCCGTAGCCTCACCTCTCTCCGCGGCACCAATCCCACCCCCGCCGCGCTGCAACATGCCCCCAATGAGGTACTTAGGCCACAACACCTGGCGCATCTTCTCCCAGACGGCCCGCAAGTCGCGCGACAGTGTCTCCCATACCGTCTCGTCGATGGTGCTCTGTGTCGCGCGGCGGTCCTCGCCGCCAATCGTGGACGTCAGGTAATTGCTGGAGAAGTTGCTCCCGCCGCCGCGGGCGGAGCTCGAGGCTTCGGGTTGGATGTTTCCGCGAAGAGGGGCGGTGTCGGAGGTGTCGTGGAGGGGATCGTCGGCTTCGATGGCTGAAGTTTGAGACACATCATGTTAGTGAGGATGCATGTATAGGTACATGGGGTATGGGGTGGATAGATCGAAGACAAAGGGAAGAAGGCAGCTAGGTAGGTAGCGATTCACTCACCATCATCAGCTTCAATCACGTCGTCGTCGAGGATCGATTCATCGTCGCGAATGTCCCCGTGGGTGTAGTGTGGTTGTACGCTGGCCATGGTGTTTGTTCCTCTGGTTGGGTTTGGGGTGTCGCGGAAGTAGTTGTAGTTAGTTGTGGTAGGTCACTGGGACATTGCCCGCTCCGGCTGACGTGGATTGCTTAGTGGATCGGACTGGGCTGGACAGACCGGCTGTACCCAGAGGATAGAATAGTAATCGCAAAGCGAGACAAGATGCCAGGACGTAGCAATGCAGCAAGCTGGAACTTCGGGTTTGGGGAAAGCTGGGCTGGCACGAGGCAGAGCAGCCCGTGTCGGAGAGGCTAGAGTGGCATTCCTTACGTACGCAAGCACGGGCTGAATCCGGCAGGCGGAAGAGCCCATCTGAAACATCCATTAACTGTCGATCGACACATCTATACCTAAACAATGAGATTGTTTTGAAGGAATATATGCCAGAGATAGTTGAGTACTATGTTCATATTTCAACAGTATTATACAATATGCCCTTCGTCCCCCTCATCATATGCTAGCTATGATACATCGACTTTTCTATAACGCCCGATTATGCTATACTTTGTGCTGAATAGAGTGGAGACCATGTTAGTTAGATCCACTTGGATGAAGCAGAAGGATCCGGATGGCCCTCGGCAGATAGATAGGACTGAATCAATGGGGTGGAACTCAGGCAATGGGGACTTCTCGCTCGGCGAGTCTGTTCATCTGCTCCGCCGTTGCTCCAACCAGAGTGTTCCGGAACTTCGGGATAATGCTCTTGTCAGAGTATTTCTTCAGAAGCTCGGCGTGGCGCTGCACCTCCTTGACGGTCTCCGGGGGTACATGTTGCTTGGCTTCCTTGACCGAGTCGAATAACCTTCGTGTCATGGTAAGCGCCTTAAGGGCATCTTCTCCTCTGATCGCGGCCGACGGGTTGGTCTTGGCTATCCGGGCCAGGTAGGACTGTCGAGACTTCTCCCCCAACAGCTCACTGGACACGGCTTCATCGAGGTCTCGAATCAGGGGACAGAGTCGCTTTGCGGCAGAAGTGATAAGGCTGGCCTTCAGCTTTACTCCCAGAGCGCTGAGGTTGTTCGATTTAGCATCTGCCCCCGATTCAAGGCCAGCGAGGGACATCAGCAGATCCGGACTATCCTCCAGTGAATGGACCAGGTCGAGATATTGGGTTATTGACCGAGCATCGGGAAGCGCGGTGCCATTGGCCATGAGATCCAGAAGCTCGTTGGCGTGTCTGAACACGTTGGGGTTTCTGCGGTCCCGAGTACATGAGGCCATGGATATGCGGAAGGTCTTTCCTTCTGTAGGTCCGGTGGGATCTCGAGTCATATTGCGCACTACCTCCACGGATTCACGACTAGCCCGTGCAGCACGGAGGATGCGTAGGTACGCGTGGTAGCTAACTGCGTCAGGTACGACCTTGGGCTCATCTCCTTGCGTAAGGTACCGCCAATATTCCTTTGCAGCGGCCGTCCCTTGGGTTATCGACAGGCAAGCTTTGAGAAGCATAGTCAGTTCCCTGTTTCCCACCTCAATATACCGCGGGAGAGTTGCTTCATCCCACATCGAGAGCCTTGTCTTCGCAGGCGGTTTCACCGTGCCAACAACGGGGTCAAACAGATGATCAAAATTCTCCTCGGCCTCCACATCCTCAATCGCCTCGGGTTCGGTATCGTGTAATCTGTCTCCCTCGTCGACAAAGGGGATATCGTCTTCCAAGTCCGCATCACTGTGCGGAGAAGATACTCGCTTCTTTTCCGAAGTTGACTCTATCCTTTCCTTCGGGGGCTCTTCCGCGAAAATCGGAATACCGGCAGTTTGATTGTACAATGCGAACACGCACCAGACATCGTGGTCACAGCTTGAGTTCTCCTGCAACATGTGGGCCATGGCGTGAGCCAGATAGTTGTCCATGGGCACCTGGCCCTTCTTCCATTGATAAACGATGTCGGCCCAGACCCGTTTGGCTTCCTGGATACCCTGAGCTCTCCTTTGCAGAAGCGGCTCAACTTCAACCTGTTTTCTTTCCGCTGTCTTGATGTTTCCCTTGTACAACTCCGATGTTGCGGCCCTCGTACTGCCTGCGACAGCCCCTAACAACGTGGTATAGGTCATTAGATCCGGAGCTAGTTTGCCGGACTCCGGCAGTGCACCAGCAACCTCCCATAGAACCTCCATATCTCGATGCCACCAACAGACCTTGAGCATTGCATTGGCGTGGATAATATGGGGTTCGACGTGGGAACCCTCGGCGTAGAGCGACATGTAGATTTTCGAGGCCAATTTCACCGGCTTGAAGCCTCTGATATCGAAGTTCTGGCTGAGACCGTTCAGGAAGATAGTGTAAGACCTCGAGTTCAGTTCCATACCTCGCTTTTTCATCTGTTACAATTCCAACAAGCATTTTATTAGTTACGGATCAATAATCCAGAAACAACAATGAGAAAGAGATGAAGAGAAAGGAGAAAGAATAACATACATCATTCCAAGCTCTGAAGGCAAGCTCCGGCTCCTTCTCACGCATGAGATACTCCAACAGCCGATTAAAAGCCGGGATGGCTTTGAAACGTTTTTGATGGGCCACCTGAATGAGCTTCAGACCAAGCGCCAGGTGTCCGTCTGCCAGACAACGCCGGACGCGCTCGGCCAGCGCATGTGGATCACGCAACCATTTCAACTCTGCATTCAACACGGTGCGAGGAACGAGGTACCTCTGCGGCACCCATTCCCTCCGAACAAGCCGCCGCAATAGCGTCCGTTTATCAAGCACTTCGTTTTCGTCTGTGGTGGAACTGGGCTCGAAGGACTTTCGTTTTCCACGAGAGTTTGCAGGCCGAGTCTCTCTCGCTTCGTGTTCCTCTTCCTTCTCACGAGGTGCAGTCTCCTCCTGCGAGGAACTGGCGGGTGAGCCCTCCGCGGCCACAGCCCCGTGCATCCGCCTCGCCTGCAGGCTCCCAATCCGCGCAGAGTGTCTCAATGGTGTCCCTATACGAGGTCCAGATTCCGCGATGTGAAAGATAGATCGACTCGGGGTAGTCCGGAGCCATTGTGTGCGGAGAAGTGGTTTCATTGCCACGCTTCCGGACCGGAGAGCGGTGGCATTGCCGCAACGAAGCATCTAAGGCGGGGAACGAAAGACACGCTGTTCGACTGGTAGTGTAGAATCTGTATGTCTTGATAGGAGGAATATGCAAGGCAAAAGGTGTATTCCAACCCGTTTGCCACTATATAGCGTGGGAGCGTGAGGCGCGTAAACCGTAGGAAACTCGGAGGTCGGCGAAGAGAATTCTGGAGGGAGAGGCAACGGCTTGGTGAAACAACCCTGAAAGGCAATATTTATAATGCAGATAAATTTCGAAAAAGAGATAATCCTTTCCCCAAGGATGTAAACGAATAAAGAAAAGAGAGGAATGCGATAGAGAAAGCAAAGCACCAAAACCAGCCCCAAAGCGAGCGTCGACCTCCGAACAATCGCAAACTCCGCCGTATCGCATATCTGCCCACTAGAACCGATAAGGTTAGTGTACTTCATCCCCCCAATCCAGCAAGTAACTCCGCTCCGGCCTCAAGA